CAAACCCCTGATTTAGATCTGTACAAACTCATTATGAAGCCACATAGACCTGCGTCGCTTAACTCTACCTGAGGGTTGCATATAATCAGCCAAGTCTGGAAATGAACCCACAACCCTGCGAGTGTAAGAGAACACCATCACCTACTGAAGAACCAGCTGTAGGTGTTCACACAGAGACTGTGTGTCTCAATTAATATTGACTTCCACCTCCGCTTCCTGTCTCTTAGCATATTAAAATATCTTTTAACCAGAGGGGGGAAAAACCAGAAACCTCTGAACTTCCAGCCCACACACAGGAAAAGAGCTTCTCCTTCCAAACGTGCGATCAAGCAGCAAACGGACCCAGTGGAGATTCTCCTCCCAGTCCACGTCACTGACAGACCTCTCCATGTTCCACGTGGGTTTCACTGATTTATTCAAGAATGAGTTACTGAAATAAAATGAAAAACACGACGGAAGTAAAGTAGGAAATACCAAGTACCTTTGAGTAAAAAAATACCCTGACTGAAAATAAAGGCAGAATGAGACTCCTCTCATCTTTACACTAGTGACGGGCGGAATTTATGATTGATAGGATTCAGATTACTTTATTATTTATTTCCGATACCGATATCAAAACTTTTTATTTTTTACTAAGAAAATACAGAACAAATACTGGCCATTTAACAACTTTATTAAATATTATTCATAACAATACTGGCCATTTAACAACTTTATTAATTATTATTTATAACATATTAGTCATAAAAAATGACTAATGAATGAATGTTGTCTAGAGTATTGTTTCTCAAAGACTGGGTCGCGACCCTCAGGTGGTCGTCTCCCATCATGTTTCCCAGGAGTTTATAAATAATGTCTATTGACTTGGGTCGTGAAGGTTTGTGACTTTTAAAATATGGGTCACCAGAAAAAAAGTTTGGGAAACAACGGTCTCCATCAGGACTTGATGGAGTCACTGCCCTCTTCTGGTCAGGATGTCATGTGACATGAATGGATCAGTTGAATTTTTACGTTACTGGAGGTTGTAGTACAAATGCCTACAAGTAGTAACTGAGCCTAAAAGACGTGGAAGTAACTGGTATGGATACTTTATGAGAGTACCTGATACTTGATTGATACACGATCAATGAATCAATTCCATGGTATTGATATATCAATAGTCTATCAGTCCATCAATTCCATAGTATATCAGTACTGATACTCACAGCAGTATCAGTACTGATACTCACAGCAGTATCAGTACTCCCATCACTAATTTACGCAGGAAAAGGTCTCATTTGTGCATAAGAGGCTCAAACACCGCCATGACGAGACGTTTTGAACGTCTCCGTCCTGGAGTAAATCCTAGTGACGACCCAGGACGCAGAAAAATAACTGAATCTCTTAGAAGGAAGTGGAGTTCTTCAGAGGTTTCCCTGCTGCTGCCTCGAGGACTGTGGTTCAGTCCCTCCACTGGCTGACATTATACTTGGTAAAAATATAAGCTGGAATTTTTTTTTTCTTTTCTTTTCTTTTTTTCCTGCCACTGTGACATTCAGCCCTGAATTAGTCCAGTCCATAATGCCTCTCTCCTGCCTTTCTGCTCCTGATTAAATTACACAGGGGAACACGTTTTGAACAGGTGCCCAGTAAAGCCCATCTGAACACACACACACACACACACACACACACACACACACACACTGTCCTCAACTCTCTCTCCCTGTGTCACCGTAACCCAACCTGCACTCGGTAAAGCCCGCTCTGACGTCACTCACACACTCACATCAGAGTTTGGACCCACTGGTTCTGGACCAGCGTACACACATACTGTACATAACTGGAAATGCCACTCACACCCAGGATCATCTCCTGATACAGGATCTGACCCGTCACCCACCAGGAACACTGTGCTAATCCGACCGCTGTGACACGGCCCGTGTGTTATTAAGATGCCAGTTTCAATGAAACGGTGCAGGCAATTACACTGGCACACAGAGGTCCTGACATCAGGGGGCGCCCTAACCCCGTTTACCCCCGTTTTCTGTAGGTCCTCAGAAAATCCCCTCAGCTTTACTTTTATTTCCATAAAGGCCACAGAGGTCGTCGACTATATTTGTCGGGGGGATAAAACTTATCTGGACAGACAGCTATATTTTAGAATCCAGAATCGTGTGCCGGATTCGGTCTGCGGGCCACCAGTTGATGATGATTTGTTCACAGTATGTCCGCAGTAGTTTTCCTAAAGCTCAGCTGCTGATATCTGAACACACTCCACATGTTTCCACTGTCTTTTTGTCGTCTTCAATTACGGCTACAAACGCACGCATGTCAAACGTAAGGTTCGTGGTCCAGTTCTGGCTCGTCAGGTCATTTGACTTGGCCCTTGAAACAATCCTGAGAAAACTTTAAACTTTAAAATAACTTTAAAATAACGCTACTTTGTGTAGCAATGTATTTCTTGGGTTAACAAACGTATGTGTGCCTCTTGTTTGATTTATGTCATGTGCGCCCCCTGCAGGGCTGTGTGCAGCCACTGGTTTATATACTTGTGTCAGGTTCGCTCACAAATACTTGCGGTACCGACGTAAACATCTGATTGTTAACCTGAGAAATGTAAATGATTTTTATTATAATAGAGAGAAAAGTACAATTTTTTTCTTCAACTTAAACAAATAATGAAAGGAGTATTTGACAAAACTTTATGCAGTCAGTATCAACTACACCTGGTAAAGGTGGTGAAGATTAGTTATGAGACCCTCTTCTCGGGTGTCGTAGTATTTTATCAAATGGTAAAACACTGGGTGTGAGGCCAGGTGTGCGTACAGCTCTGGAACGGGAGCCTTATGTTTGTGTCGTTTGTTTTTAAATGTGTCACCACCAGACTGTTCCTATCTGATCAGAGGGACTTTTCCCTGCAGTGATCAGCCGTGGAGTGCAGCCCCAGTTTGAGCACAGTGTGCAGGATGTTGCGTCTTTAAGAGTTGAGAAACTTGAAACCGTGTTTGCGCAACAATCAGTGCGGCTCCGAGCCGCCAAAGTGTCTAGACTGGCACATGATGGCGAGAATCAACCAATGGCTCCAGAGCTTTCCTCTGCTGTGGCCTCCAGAGAGAGAGAGAGAGAGAGAGACTGAGAGAGGCAGAGTCGAAGAGAGAGAGAGAGAGAAAGAGTCAAGTTTGACATAATAACGCGCGCTGTGGAATGTAGAGCCCTTCAAATTAAAAGCATAGAATTGACGTTCAGAACAAAACTCCCGGCACAAAAAACTAAACTTAAACTAAAAACAGTAAATAATAAAACATGTAGTTCGATGATGGTGATTTATGAATGACCAACTTTATTGGATTTTCTGACTGTTTCTAACTGGTCTTGACTGTTCTGAGTTGGTACTATAGAAGATCTATTATTATTATTATTATTTTCCACTGCGAATCACAGCAAAAAATTCAGCCTGTAACTGTTGTAAAGATGTCAGAAAAACAAAAAACAAAATGAGTGAATTAACAAATTCAGCCTGAAACTGTTGTAAAAATGTTGTAAAAAAATACAAAATGAGAGAATGAATGAAAGAAAAGGCAGAAATGATTAAAAACTAACACATGTAACTTTGAGCAACCAAAAACAACAGCATATGTGTAAAACGGGTACGGAATAAATAGTTCCAAACAGTAATGTAGCCAAGTGTTCCTTAAAAAAATGTATAAAAAACAACCTTTTTTTTACATATCCAAAACACAATAAAATCGAAAAAAAAAATTAAAAAACACCACTATTTTATAAAAATTTAATAAAAGCCTCTCCTTCATAAAACAAGGTTTTATTTAGCCTTTTATAAGGTGTGAGTTGATCCCAGCCCTCCCCCCAAATTCTGAAAATCAAAGATATCACTGTAGTTACACAGAGTAAAGAGTCTGGGGAGAGCTTCACTGGACACTATTCATTTAATGCTCATTTAAAAATCACTTTCTAAAACATAATAAAGTAATATTATCGAGTTATTTTTAATAAACTACAGATAAGTATTTTTTCCCCATAAAAACTCCGTGAATATTTCCACGTGTACTTCTCTGTTTCCTTTGTTGTTAACGGGACTAAACTCGGCTCTAATTCTGAAAATCACCTCAGTCTGTTTCATTCCGTCGACTTTGACTTCAGTGTGTGTGGTGTGCGCGCGTGTGTGTGCGCGCACACGCGTGGACCCGTGGGGCAGTGCAGCAGCAGCAGCAGCAGCAG